AGAAATGGATTAGCTTGACACTTAGCAAACATCTGCTTTCTACATTTGTTGAATAATCCGAAACAAATATATTACAATAATTATACGGTTGATGATTAAGGAATTAGTGGAATGGTTGTTGACCTTTATGCAATCATAAATGACACGTGTCCAATCTAAAAATTTGATAGTTAAAATAATGGTTCATTATCATATCACATATATAATGTTTCCAAAAATCTCTCCATATTTCTTCTCCTCTTTGGTTCATTTGTAAACGATCAAAAAGTATCTGATTACTCAGACCGTACATTTTTTGATATGATTATGATATAATATTACTGTATTATCTACTGTAAAATGGTTAAACCATTAACCGAAAAATTAGACAAAAACTGTTATCACAAAATTAATCTCGTTTAATTTAATTAATTAAAGTAATTTAATGTGTTTGGAGAAAAAAAATTATTTGAAGGAGAAAATTCAGTTAAAAAGTAAATTCAAATTTAGAATTAATCTTTTGAATATAATTTGATTTGTATGCTTTTGATAGGGAATGAATAGTTGAAGGAATTAAGATGAGAAGGTTGATTGAATGGACGGTAGTGGTTAAGTGGTCAGAGATCAGGTCATCAATTGGTCCTTTTGTTACAAAGGGACAAAATGATGAATTAATTTCTAGCTTATTCCCTTTTAGCTTCACTTTGGAGATAACAACGTGTTGCAAATGGTCTGATCATCTTCCATTCATCTCTCACTTATTCTCAATTTCAATGATCAGGCTCTCATCTCCTACTACTACAACTTTTCCTTTTTTTTTTTTTTTACTTCTTGTACTTCGATCTTATCTTTTCATCTAAACTAAATTTATATTTAAAAATCATTTTCGTAATTTGTTAAGATTCCTCTTATCAGTAGCTTATCATTATATTTGGACTGATACATCATATAGTATTTTCAAATTGTCACATTTTTTCCGAAAAAAAAGCTATTAACAAATAAATTGTACCATCAACTCTACAAACAATTCATCATTGTATTATTCGATTAACTAATTTAGAAAATTTATCAATATCATTAGAAGCTTTATATAATTCTATGATTATCACTATTATCTTCTTCATTTAGTTTTTTGTTTTTTTCTTTATGAATTCTTCTACTCGTGAATATTTCATCGGGGCATTTGGCGTAACAATACAAATATTTGTTAGAACATACTGGTAGAGAATTATCAGTAGATACTTTAAAGCATCAATCTTATCAGTGGATAAATTGTGAGGGATAATTAATTTAACGATTTGTGGATAAACAAAATGCTAAAAGATGCTTAGAAAAAACAAAAAGAAAAAACCAACATCATGCGAAGTATTTTTTCGAATTTCCCAAGAATTCTAATGATTATGATAATGTAATTAATTAATTGATTTTTATTGAGGAAGTAGTAAGCGTTAAAATTATTATCAGTATAGCAATTTATGCTTATCAATAAATGATTTAGTCAATCATTTTTTTTTCTCCTGCACTTTTCTATATATCTGTTTATTTCTAATGTACGAGTTATAGTGATATTATATAAAGAAATCATTGCTGCATTGATTAGACCTTTTTGGTTCAAATTTTAATTAATATATTTTCAATGATATGAAAGATTATTCTTGTCCTATTACTTTTCCATAATTTAAAAGGTTAATTATGTTTTAAATTGCCAAAATATTTGCTGCATGCAGTAACAAATTATGCATTACTGATAGTATGATAAGAAGGTATTCGTTCATTTTTTTTTTATTTATCTATTCTTATCACATTTATCATATCTGTTGGTTTCATTTCTTTTCTTATTTCATATAAAATTTTATATCATTCAAGTGTTACATTTGGATTTTGGAAAAATTGATAATGAAATGTTAAATTACTTTATAACTTTAATTTTTTATACAAATTATTAAAATTGATATATTAAAGTTAATTTACTGATACTTTAAGGATTTTAATTATTTCAACATTAGTAAATATCATTATACCGTATGCAATTAAGCCTTACATTTAGTTGTACATAATACTAGGCCAAGTATTTCAGTCCTGAAAATTATATTAATGGAATATTGATCATTAAAAAAAAAAAAAAGGAAGGAAATCTCAACTATCATCATTTTCCAAAGGATTTATTATTAGTAGCATATAATGGAGCTTAATTAAAGAAAGTTAGTTAGTAAATTGTTAAGGGATGTGATTAGTTTAAAATCAACACGATAAGATAGTCTCTTCCGCTTTAACAGTGCCATTCTTACATCAATTAATCTTCGCACTTTCTTCTCAGACAGTTAAGCTTCGTTTTTTTTTTTCAACCATTTTCTTCATTCATTTCAACATTTTGCAATTCTCTATTCTATCGATTTCTTAAAAAATTTAGTGCTTAAATTTGAAATATTTTCGAGTAACGACAATTGCGCTAAGCTATTTGTACATTCCACTTTTTTTTTTTTTTTAAATTAGTACTAGAAGTAAGGATGATTCATAGATGCTAATAATATCAATAGATGTTGGAACGAAAAAGCTAATGATATCTTTGTCTAACTTACTAATTTATTATCAATTAATTAAAACTGATCATAAATGGTTGTAACAATATCTTTTCATTCATTTAATTCCTTAATTGGTAATCTTTTCTTTTTTTTCCCCAGTTATTGGCTAAATATTATCATTGATAAGATTAGTCATTAATGTTAGAATCAAAATTAGAAGTAAAATTGGGATTAAAATAACTGTTAACTTTTTGATAATGCAATTGTGCAAACATGATATGAAATATGCAAAATTATCATGCCTTTATTTTTTTTTTTGATTTTAAAATAATTAATCAAAATAATGATTATCAGTTGGTTATCAATATGATAGATATATGAAAGTATTATAACATAACAGTTTGATTTAAATTTATTCATTCCAAATCATCTCACTCTTTTTTGTTTTCAAAAGAAAATGAATATTAATCTATCTTATCAGTCGATAAAAGTATTGCGTACAGAATTAAAATATTTCAGACTAAATAAAATTTAGCAATACATAACAATAATTTCTACTTTTATTTTGCAATTTTCCATTCCTTTTCACTGTGATTTAATTACAAAATTATTTATCAATGCCGATATTTACCTGTATATCAATATCATCTTATCATATAATTTTTTAATTTATCATACAATCATATAATTATTTATTAAAATTACATATTAATGCCAATATTACTTATATATCAGTATTATCTTATCATATAATTTTCCTGTCATCCAAACAAATAATTAATCTCGTCATAATTTCCGCCACTTTATTCCCAAATTAATTTCAAATTTTAGGAACAAACATTAATTACAAAAGAAAATTTTTCAAAGTTTCAAATTTCTAAAATCCTTTATTTATGCTATTTCAAGGCTGATATTTGTGTAATTTACTGGTAAAAACTTTAATTTTAGGAATATTTACTTCAATTAGTTGTCAGTTGCTTGTACAATTTACTGATAAAAATTTGAAAAATCTGATAAAAATTTTAGAAATTCTTCAAATTTTCATATTTTTAAAAGAGAATACAAAATTTCTTCTTCTGTGAACTTTTTTTTTTTGTGAATTGCCAAAAAATAGGTTGAAATGAAACTTTTGATATGTATCGAGAAAGAAACTTTATACTCACCAGGCACTACCACCTTCATTGACCAAAAAAAAAGAAAATAAACATTTGAGAATTGAGGGAACTGTCGATTTCCCGAATATACCATTTTTTAATTTATCAATATATCAATTTATATATATCAATTTTTAATATATCAGTATATTGATTCACATATATCAATTTTTAGTATATCAGTATATCAATTTGTATATATTAATTTTTAATATAACCTCTTATTATAGTGGAAGTATGGCAGTATTCGATGTTTTTAGTATATAACTGAGCGATATTCTCCCTCAGGAAGACTCCCGATTAATCCTTTTAAGCAATCCTATCTTATCGAAGAAATAAAAAGTTGCTTAAATACTTATTATACCACCTTCTCTTTAAATGATTACCATAATGATGATCCTTACCCCTTTTGCAGTAAATATCAAAATTACGGTTAGATTACGGTTAATTACGGTTAGAAAATTGACAACTAAGAATATCCCTGATACATAAATGCATCATTTCCATTCCTCATCTATGATTATCTTCTTTCATTCTTGATTGATTTACTGATCATTAAAATGTTGCTATTTTATTGATCGATCAAAGTATTATCTTTTATCAGTGAAAGCGTTATCTTTTATCGGTGATTAGGGTTTCTTTTTTTTTGACTGAATGGATTATATGTTTGATACGTAACTTAACCCTTACATTAGTCATTGAAATTTGGAAAAGTTTTGATTAAGATATTTCAATTATTTCCGGATAAATATTTGCAGGAAAAAAAAATCGGAAAAGAACATGCGGCTGCTATTTTGGTTTGCAGCCGTTTTTTGCTGCATTCCGGTAGTAATTAAAGCATGGAATATCCTCACATTCTTTTCCACAAAACAGGTTTTCCATAATCATATCAATTTTTTTTTTTTTTTTTTATAACCATAAATGGAATAAAATATTTTGAAAATCCTAGTATATTTTTTCAATCAAATCGTTACTTCTTTT